GACGATGGACCAACGTTCAGCCGACGTTAGCCCAACGTCGAATAGCCAACCCAAAGCCACCATTTAAAAAAAAAAATTGAGACGATGAACCAACATGAAGCCAACATTGGCCCAACGCCGAATAGCCAACCAATAGCCAACATTTATAAGTTAAAATTGAGACAATGGACCAACGTTCAGCCAACTGTAGCCCAACGTCGAATAGCCAACCAATAGCCACCATTTATCAGTAAAAATAATGACAATGGACCAACGTTCAGCGAACATTGGCCCAACGTAGAATAGCCAACTAATAGCCACCATTTATCAGTGAAAATGGCGACAACGAGCCAACGTTAGCCCAACGTCGAATAGCCAACCAAAAGCCAACATTTATCAGTAATAAATGAGACAATAGACCAACGTTCAACCAACATTGGCCCAACGTCGAATAGCCAACCAATAGCCAACATTTATCAGTGATAATTGAGACGATGGACCAACATTTAGCCAACATTGGCCCAACGTCGAATAGCCAACCCAAAGCCACCATTTATCAGTGAAAATGGCGACAATGGACCAACATTGAACCAACAATAGCCCAACGTCGAATAGCCAACCATAAGCCACCATTTATCAGTGAAAATGGCGACAATAGACCAATTAACGTTCAGCCAACATTGGCCCAACATCGAATAGCCTACCAATAGCCATCATTTATCAGTGAAAATGGCGACAATGGACCAACGTTCAGCCAACATTGGCCCAACGTCGAATAGCCAACCAATAGCCACCATTTATCAGTGAAAATGGCGACAATGGACCAACGTTCAGCCGACATTGGCCCAACGTCGAATAGCCAACTAATAGCCACCATTTATCAGTAAAAATGGTGACAATGGACCAACGTTCAGCCAACATTGGCCCAACGTCGAATAGCCAACCAATAGCCACCATTTATCAGTAAAAATGGTGACAATGGACCAACGTTCAGCCAACATTGGCCCAATGTCGAATAGCCAACCAAAAGCCAACATTTATTAGTGAAAATGGCGACAATGAGCCAACGTTAGCCCAACGTCGAATAGCCAACCAATAGCCAATATTTATCAGTGATGATTGAGACGATGGACCAACATTTAGCCAACATTGGCCCAACATCGAATAGCCAACCCAAAGCCACCATTTATCAGTGAAAATGGCGACAATGGACCAACATTAAACCAACAATAGCCCAACGTCGAATAGCCAACCAAAAGCCACCATTTATCAGTGAAAATGGCGACAATGGACCAACGTTCAGCCAACATTGGCCCAACGTCGAATAGCCAACCAATAGCCACCATTTATCAGTGAAAATGGCGACAATGGACCAACGTTCAGCCAACATTGGCCCAACGTCGAATAGCCAACCAATAGCCACCATTTATCAGTGAAAATGGCGACAATAGACCAACGTTCAGCCAACATTGGCCCAACGTCGAATAGCCAACCAATAGCCACCATTTATCAGTGAAAATGGCGACAATGGACCAACGTTCAGCCAACATTGGCCCAACGTCGGATGAGCCAACCAATAGCCACCATCTATCAGTAAAAAATGGCGACGATGGCCCAACGATTAGCCAACGTTGGCTTGCCGACTGCGACCCTGCCGACCGTGGCCGACGTTGGCCCAACGCCGTATTGTTATCTGGGTTACTGTGGGAGAAAATGCCATGTAAAAATGCAATAGACGCTCGTAGGAGCCGCGAGTATAGCCATTGGCGCTTTATAAACATATATAATAAAAAAAATATGTTAAAAAACAGTTCAATTTATTGTATAAATAAACTGTGCAGTGTACAAAGAATTGTACATGTTATTACATGTGAACATAACTTGATCTTAGTATAATAATAACATTCTGACAAACTGTGACATCCAAGGGGCAGTGGGTCTCTTTTGCATGCGTGAAATAGGGCTGAAACGCCAATTTGCGTAAAATAGTGAGTGCAGAAAATAACATTTATAAACCTGCCATAAGTTTTATTAGTAAAAAGTGGCATTCGGTACACGTTTTTGACCGTTAAATTTTCAGTTTTTTTAGTAGGTATTAGCAACTGCTGAGGTTATTTTGCAGTAATGTTAATTTGTTCAAGATTTTATTTTCCAAAAAATGCAGACATTTTTGTTGATGTACTACATTATTGTACTATGTATCATTCAAAAGGGTAATATATGAACTTTCTTTTGATGAACATTGCAAGGTCACGTGATGTGATTTGATACCTCAAAACGCCAACAAAAGAGAGCACTTATTTTGATTTGTGAATAAATGTGGACAGCAGTCTGATATTTGTTGACCATATCTCTTTTTTCACTCATTTGTAAAATATCATTCCATAACAGTTTCCTGAAAGTTTGAAGACGATATCCGTTGTCCTTGGTCCGTAGCGTATTTGTGTGTGACAATGTAATGATATAAATGTTAGTCATTTATTAAAATTAAAGAAATGCTTCTGACATACACACTCACTCAGTCTCACTAACAGAGTGAGAAAAAATTATTTCTTTGCTCATTTCAATTAAACAAATTATATTACAAACATACAAACAGGACCACAAACGTACACATAAGCAAACAAACCGACACAAATACATACAGATTTCCACAAAACATAATAAAATTTTCGCATGAGGCATCAGTTTATGAATCTTATCTCTGTTTATTCAATTATCACAAATTGAATAAACCATAACAAAACAAAAAATGTCAGTCTGAAATACCTTGTAGTAGTACAAACAGAATAACAAGCAAGAATGATCAATGATCAATATCTGCCAAGTTTACATCCAGGTCCTAAAAAATCTTTATACCATACGTTTTTAATGCTTCGTCGGACTGGCGTAGGGTAGCGTATTGTTGCGTAGGCTTGGCGTACATTTGCGTAGGCTTGGCGTACAGTAGCGTAGGCTTGGCGTACAGTTGCGTAGGCTTGGCGTACAGTTGCGTAGTAAAGTCTACGCCGAAGGTACGCGAAAAAAATTAAACATGTTTAATTTTTTGCGTTCATCTCGCGTACCCATTCGCGTCCCTCCGCGTACAGTTGCGTAGGGTTGCGTACGATCGGCGTAGGGTTGCGTACGATCGGCGTAGTCGCTACGCAACTCTACGCAACGATCTACGCAACTCTACGCAAGGCCCGGTATGAAAGCCCCTTTAGCTGACGAGTTGCGCGACATTGGCGAGATGTCGTTGATCTTGTAGTTATGACGGTTTCGAGAAACGGCCCCCGAGTCGTATTATATGGCAATTTTGAATGCACAGGGGAAGGAAAAAGCCATTTGATATCCTTGCCCCTTTTCATTTGGGGTCAGGCAGCGTTAAAGAAGCTGAGCGAAGGTTTCAAAAGGCTTTTAACCTTAATAATGTTGGCATCATTGCAAAGTTAATGTTACAATCTTTCTAATGGTTCATATTTATTTTTCAAAAATTGTTACAGATTTGACTTATCTGCTTTAGTGGTGAAAGTGGTGAAATTACTACCCGATTATTCCACCCTTGATCGGCCCGCTAGACGTACGATTTGTTACAGTAGGAGGTTGGGCACATGAGCGAGAGTGCGATCCTCACGCTCTCACACAACTCTCGCCTGCATGCATTATACGTATACAAACGCCACTCGAACGCCAAATATCTTAAATGTCCGAGCTCGAAAAAGAGGTTTTACTCGATTTAGAATTCGAAGTTGATGAGCACAGCTCCACAACAGTGGTACTGGTAGTGATGATGATAATAATGGGGATGTATAGGAGAGATGGAAGAGAGAGAACAATTCGGAGAAGACGGCGTCGATGCTGGTGCAGGTCAAGTGATAGCATATCGGCGCGAGCTGGCTGAGCTGCCAGCTGCCGCTCAGCTCCCCTGGCCCCGCTCAACTGGCGATCCGGATCTGTGATATGACTGGGCGAGATATTTTCTAATTTGTCGGGATGTGTGGGGCTTTTTGGCAAATTTCACGGATAATAAAACAAAGATGATTAGATGTGAGATTATATTTGGCGAAAATCAATTACAAATATGCACCATTCATAAATAGAACTGCAGCTGCAGGACATCATACAAGTGCAAAAGGACGCTCGCGATTCACTCATCATGGTCTCCGTATATAATCAACAGCAATCACTATCACACCAAGGCATGATGACCGAACAAATACAAAACATCTCGGCAAATTACACAGAACGGAAGGGTATTTGGACAAATCGAATTGCACGATCCACCCCTCGTATAATATTACATAAATTTGCTTTATATTATATGTAATTACATGATTTCTAGAGATTGTTATTCCACTTTCTGGTCAGGATATGAAGCATGCAAAGTCTGGATAATGTTTACGTATAGCTATGCAAAATACCGCACGCGAGCTGTGCGAGAGGCGAGCTTGAGGCCTAGAATTGCGATCGTGCTCAACCAGGGACGTCATAATCGGCCTACTGCGCGAACAAAATGTTCAAGCCAAAAATTGAAGTTCTGAGAAGGTTCTTGGAAAAAGCTTCTTACCGCGTTTCATTTATATTTACAAGACTTTAGAGCAGAATGTGTGTCTTCATATTGGTCTATGCTATCCGGACATATATAATTTGCCCATTTTGAGTGATATATGTGAAATTTCTTCGCCAAGCTACTTTAAAGTACAGCTATCTCGTGGTCAAGACGTTGAAACAAGACCATTGAATGAACATATTTTTGGGGGGTCAACATTCCCTTGCAGAACAAGAGCCTACGCCTATACTTGCACCATGGGGCATGGGGCGGGGGGGGGGTGAGCACTAAATGTTTGTTTTGTTTTGTTTAACCTGTTTTTTAATGTAAAGTTAACGTTTATTACCTGCATGGCTCTAGTAGTTTGCAGGCACAAACCTTGGTCAGTCGTAAAAGAGAGTCTGCACCAAAAGACTACCATAGGCCATGTACTATAACTGCTCCTGACACTGACACAACCAGTAGGTAGCTGGGCTAGGCTTCTCTCAAGGCACAATGATTTTTGTTGGGATAAATTAGGGTCTGTGCTTGAAGACTAGCGCTCTAGCATTGATCGCCGATTCCACGTCGTTGACCCCAGATCAAGTTCACACTGAATAATCACAATTGAACGGTACAGCCAACAGAAACCCAATGATTCATTTTACGTACAAATAAACATATGCATTTCTCCATATAGATATAGCACAATGCTACGTGTTTTGGAGCCTTGTATAGTTTCATGCATGTAGGTAATCATGTCGACTTCATCCCCTCAATCGTCCGGACCCGTTCGTATCATGATGTGGAGCACACCGAGGTCACTGTCGACTGCATTCGCGAGGTCGATGTCGGCTCGAGGTGATGCCGAAGTCTTCTGGGAACCGTATTTTTCATGTTACTTTTTTGGACCGGCTGGGGCGGAAAGGATTAGTTTATTGCCAATTCATGGTAGGTTGATCCACCACTCGATCATTGCTTTGTATTTAATAGGCCAAATAAAATAGATTCCTATTCCATAGTTTCTCGTCAGGATTTCTCCCAAATGGGGAGGAGGGTGTTCAATATGTTATTTGATGTTTGATATTTTTGTTAAAGGTAATACAAAGTTTTGGTACGGGGTCATGAATTTGGTTCGAATGAACATATTCGACGCATATGCGGTCTTACAATATTCAATGATCGTTGTCGCTGTTGAAATCGAGTCTAAAGTTATGAAATTGTAAATAATAAACTCTTCATGTTGTATAGCTCCCTCTCAAGGTCAAGTTGTAAATTAAGCTATAAAACAATGTTTCTTGACTAAAATCTACCGATTAGTTGTTCCCGTTCGGAAATTATATATCACAACTACATATTTTGAGATTATCATGGTCGCAGCTACCATTGTATGGCCGTGGCGCTATTTGAAATTCATCAATATTTACCGGGAGCACCGGTAAATTTTTATATTCAATTTTTCTCGAAAGCAGTAATAGTTTAGGGGCTAAATTTTCTAGTGCTTATAAAACATCCACAGGGGCATCCAAATATATCAAAATTGTAAAGAATCACTAACCACCCAATTTTCAAAATTTCCCAAAACTTTGTATTACCTTTAAGACAGGGCTGTCAACTTTGGGGGAACTGCTTCTACATCTATAGGGAGATCGTATGCAATTTGTTTTGGCTCAGCAGGGAAGGGGGGGGGGTGTTGAGTAAGAAAAAAAATATCGAAGTGCTCACATTTTCATAATTTCTGCAAAGTTCTACAGAATGTGATATTTGCTGCAAAAGGGACTAAGTATATTTAAGAAGCAATGACATTTTACATGGCTATAGACCTATGTCTATTTCATATTTTCATTCGATTTAATCTTTATTTTTTAATTTTTTTATTGTGACTTTTATGATTAGATCTAGACTACTTTCAGCATGCAGTCTTCAAGAATGTTCAAAAAATAATTGAAGTTAACAAATAGGAACAGAGAACTAGATCTAGAGCACACTTATATAGTCGTTTCACTATGATATCATCAGGGGCGGCGCAGGTTATTTTGTTAGGGGGCGAATGGGCGCGCCATGCAGGGGGTGTGCCCCCTTAGAAGTTAAAGATTTGTTTTAAATTGATGCATAAATGGCTCGATTTGGTGCATAATTTTTGCCAAATTAAAAAGAAAACAGTCTCAAGTTCAACTAACATGAACAAGAAGGCAGGGGGGGGGGGTTACACCATACTTTTCATGCAGAAGGGTTGTTATAGTTGAAGTTGTTGTTTTCATTGAACAATCTGCCATAAATGATGGAGAGGGGGGGGGGGGGGCAGCGGCTCCCTGCCCCCCATGTGGCGCCGCCCCTGGATATAATTATTATGATTATCATCTTCATGATCATTATTATTATTGTTATCATTACATTTGCCATGATATTATCAAAGTATATTTAGAGTGCTCTATTATTACTATTGGGTGTGGGTGCGGAACTGTGGGTATATATATTATGATAGTGGTCTGGGGAGGAAGGAAAGCAATCACAATTAAAGAGGAGAAAAAGAAATCCTCTCTACTTGAATAGTCGATCTACATATACAACGTACAATATGTTATTGTTAGTCACTGACATTATCGAAAAAGGGGTTAACAATCTTGACGACATCTGCACTTTGTACATGTTGTATTCAAAACCAAATCGTAGACCTCCATAATAAAACAGTACACACTCAGTCATCACATATGCATAATAAGTACACATGCAATATGTAGTTTCCTTACCCAAACCAACAAAAAAGCATATGAAAACGCAGAACTACCCCAAATTTACGTCTCATCTTTTAAGGGTCTAAATTTTGGAATAAAGTGTCAGCTTTTTATATCTTACCAAAATGTGTTTTTCAGAGTGCCAATAATCTTTCTTTTGTGTTTGAATAATCACTTCATTTATAGCTACAAGCATGAGCAATGAGAAGTATACGCATAGCTTCATCAGTGGTTTACTCAACGCTGAATACCCTGGAGCCAAGGTCCTCTTCGTCAAGGATATGGTAGAGGGGATTAAGGATAATTTCGACGTCGTCGACCACCGCTATAAACACTCCTTTATCATCCGTCATCCACGAAAAACATTTCGCTCCTTGTACCGTATCGCTCATTCGCAAATAGGACCACGCGATCCCTGTGAAATGATAAGTAGACACAAAAACAACTATCACATTTTGGAGCAGTTCTACCGTTACGTCCAAACCGAGCTCGACCAGGGAGCCCCTCCTATCATCGACGCCGACGACCTCGTCAGTCACCCGGAGAAGCTGCTCCCGAAATACTGCGAAGCCATGGGCATCGAGTACACTCCCAAGATGTTGGAATGGGAGAGCGTTGAAGCGGACAGCTTAACTGGCACTGCACCGATGTGGGTATTTTCGCACACTCTCAGGCGAACCAAAGTTTGATTTTGTCTAATGCTATGAAAGGACAGGGTTTTGGCAAGGCACCCGATCCTACCAAACATATCGAACTGCCAGCGGCCGTCGAAGCGATGATTAGCCATGCTCTACCAGTCTACCAGAAGTTGTATGAACTGCGAATTCAACCTTAGGGCATGTGTGAATCATGTCAAACTGGTGTGTCAAGAACACAACCTCCTCTAGATAAGATACTTCGGAGATACTAGCTTTGTATGGGCACATAAAGGTCATTAACTATTTTGAATAAAACTATAAAAAAACTATCGAGACAACTGCAGGATATGTCTGAGACAACATCATATTCCAACCAAGAAAAGTATTAAATTAGTGCCACTGTAATTGATAAATCATTAAATGGCTATAATGTACTAGACAGACGCGAATCCAGGATTTCTTAGGGGAGGGGGCCCAACTTTTTTTTTTTTTTGCTCCCGAAAATTTGAAAATCGCGCCGGCCGAAAAGTCGGGGGGGGGGGGGGGGGGGGGGGGGGGTGGTACAGAGCACAATTTTTTTTAATTTTTTTTTGCTCCCGCGAAAATTTGAAAAACGCGCCGGTCAAAAATTCGCTCAGTGGGGGGGGGGGGGGGGGGGAGGGGGGGGGGGGGGGGGGGGGGGGTACACATTTTTTTTTTTGATCCTCAAAAAAAATCGATTTGCACCCCCCCCCCCCCAAAAAAAAGGTAAAAATCACGTGATTTTACATGATTTTTTTCTCAAGGGGGGGGGGGGGGGGCCCGGGCCCCTCGGGCCCCCCCCCCCCTGGATCCGCCACTGGTACTAGATTATGATTATTATTTGACCTGTATAAAATTCTCCGCAAGCTTAAACCTGCGGCAAGAAGGCGACTTCTTTAACCCGTCAAGGCACCTTGTTTAAGGCAAGAAGGCGAGTTGTTAAAAGACGACAAGGTGCCATGTTTAAGTCAAGAAGACGAGAAGGCGACTCGTTGAACTCACCGAGGCGCCCTTTTAAAGACAAGAAGACGGGTTGTTAAAAGACGACAAGCCCCCCCCCCCCGCACTCAGTGTTAAATAGGGTATGCGTATTCATGCCCCCCCCCCCCTCCCCTCCCCCCTTTGAAAGCACCTTAACAAGTCGCCTTTTCGCCTTCTTAGCCTTAACAAGACGCATTCGCGAGTTTAGCCAGTCGCAGCACTTATGTATGTGTTTTAAAGCCTGTGTGCACTAGATTGGCCAGGAGGGATTAGACCTCCCTGGCGTGGTCACTGACAGGTTGTTTTCTCATCAAATCAGCTCTCAATTAGTATTTAGAAAAAGGGGGTCAAGGGGGAACAACGGGTACCACTTACGCATTATTTGCTATCAATTAGTTTACCGTATAAGGTTAAGACACATGTACGTTTTTTTTAATTTTCTACGATTTCATTCTATTTGTCTATGTGTTAATACAGTGGCGGAAGAGCGTCTTTCAAAGTGTATGGGGGGGGGGGGCACCAACACAAAATCAGGCACCTACAATTTAGGGTAATCTTAAAGGCCCACTGCACTACTAGTAGCTACTTGCGCCCTCTATATAACTAACAATGCCTAATCGGTGGCCATTGGTCCCCCATGATCCTCTTTTTCTTATGTTAACTGAGAGCTGAGTTGATGAGATAACCACCTGTCCAGTGACCTTGCAGGGCAGTCTAATCCCTCATGTAAACTACGGCAGATAAGCTTTAAAGCACAAAATTGTGATTTTTTGACCCGACTAGTATAGATGCACCCTTACATTGTATTGAATACATTATCTGGGATAATCTTCAAGATTTCTCTGTACGTGGTCCGAGAAATTGCTTCAATACCATAGTTTGCTGTTAATAATTATAATATAATGATAATATGAGATTTGAAAGGCGCCGAATACACTTTAAATCAAATGGTCTAAGTCCATCACATTAAAGCATCTGTATTATAAACAATTGTACAACAGTTTAGAAGATAAAAAAAATGAAATTTTGGTGTGATGGTCTGAAAATTAATTTAATTTTGTAAACGTCACATTGCGACCGATTGGTTTCATTATTAGATGAAATAACTGATCCTGATGGGGTTTAAACTTTAAAGCACAATCTCATAATGTAAGAATGATCAAGACCATCAATATGTTTTTAATGTGATATGAACTGTAAATGCCAAAAGCTCAGCGAGCGAGTTTTGGAGGAAAGTTGAGAAAAAATACCTCCAATCGCTTTAAATTAGTGGCACATGTTAGGGAGGCTACATAAAAATCTATTGTTTCTGGGTAGATGAGGGGTGATAACAATGTTTTGCCAAAGCACGTATGGTAATCATTTCTTATTCATTTTAACATGAATGATATTTGGTAATGTCAATTGCAGTTGCCTTTAGTTTGAATACTCCAAAACAAGGGGATTTAATTAGAATTTATGGTGGGGATCGAAAGTATGAATTTGCGCTGCTTCCAAAAGTATTTAAAGTCCTATTGACCCTAAACCAGTTAAATAAAACTTTACATGCTATAACATTTGACTGTGTGTTTTAATTCATATTTACCTCCTTAACTAGTTTACCAATGTATTTCTTTTTGTTTTTATCTCGTTTTTTATGATCACATATCATATTTCATTTTATATACATGTATTTTAACACTGTTATCGTTTTTATCGGGGATGCAGCCCTATACGGGTTTTTCAAACCTCTTTGCTGCATCCCTAGACATGTTTGAGTTTGTTACTGAATTTCCGAATAAATACAATGAACAATATATAATAATCAAGACTCTTGGTCATTTGGGCCAGTTTTTGGCCCGAATTGATCACTGATCTTTGTGGTCCCTTTTGGTCACAGGGGTAAATTTTTCAAAAAAGATTTAATGGGCCTATAGTATGTACAAGGGAAACGCTCTCGGCGGTCTCGCCTGCATAACGCAATTCAATATGATAAACCAGAACGTCAATGACGTAGCGCTCATCCGCATCTCACAACAACAAATATCGTAAATTTTATGTGGTACACTTTTGAACTGGTCAAAAAATAGAAATTTGATGCCCTGGAAGGGACATAATTTCATTTTATTTGCATAAAGTACCATGAATAATCAATGGAGCAAAATCTCACAATTCTGTGAAGAAGTTTATTGTTCCAAATTTAGCTCTACCAGATAAGGCAAAATCGGTCAAGAAATGAGGGAAAAGAAGCAATTTTTGTTATTTTTGGAATAAATTTGCATACATTACCATAATTAATTAATGGAGAACAATTTCAAAATTCTGTGTAGAAGTTTAGTGTACCAAAGTTAGCTCTACGATATAAAGCAAACCAAATTAAAATCGGTCGAGGAATGAAGGAGAAGAAGCATTTTTTGTGATTTCGAATAAATTTGCATAAATTAGCATAGATAATGAATTTCACAATTCTGTGTAGAAATTTTAAATTCCCTCCTAGCCCTATCATATGAAACAATCAGAATCAAAATCGGTTGAAAAATAACGAAGAAGCATTTTAAAAATCTTAATGTTGATGCCACAACAAAGTCTAAGTTTGTTGACCTTAAATGGCCTTTGACCTTAACTTAGTGACCTGAAATTCTACTCAAATGATTGGGGGGACTTGATAACCCTATAGTCCAAGTTTCATTGACTAAGAACTTATACTTTCAAAATTATATCAAAAATTCAAAAACTTAACCTTAGGTTAAGTTTTCGATGATGATGCTACAACATAGTCCAAGTCTGTTGACCTGAAATGACCTTTGACCTTGACTTTGTGATCTGAAATTCTACTCACATGATTGGGGATACTTGATTACCCTATAGTCAAAGTTTCATTGACTAAGAACTTATACTTTAAAAATTATACCAAAAATTCAAAAACTTAACCTTAGGTTAAGTTTTTGATGTTGACGCCGTCGCCGTCGCCGCCGCCGCCGTCACCGGAAAAGCGGCGCCTAGCTATGTCTCGCTTTTTGCTACGCAGGCGAGACAAAAATGTACCCTGATGCTAGAAATGGTGTTCAAATTGCACCCCAAGAGTTCCTCTTTGGGCAATAAATGACACTGATCTGTATTGATTTTTGTCCAAAATCAGGCCATTTTCCAGGAAGAATCAAAACTTCGAAAGGTGGCTTTTAACACTAAAAAACTCCTTTTTACAAATGTGTGCTGATATCAGAACAAAAATTCTCACTGTATGAAGTAATACAGTTTGGAACTCTTTGGTTATTTTAATCGGTGGCTAGCGTTTTTTCGGGGTTTTGCTGCGCTGCCCTGGTTGAAGATGTCGTCTCGTCCTTACTGTTATCGTGTCATGCAGTCACGAACAGAACAACATATTCACTCCTTCTTTCCTCGCACTGTTCGACAGTGGAACGCTCTCCCTCTTGAGGTTGTCCTGGTTCCATCAGTGGAAGCCTTCCAGCGACAACTAAAGACCGGGGGAAGTAAATTCCGGCAATGTTTTTTACTGGCACTATGTATATTATACAAATATTGACTGCTCATGAGGATGATGGTGGGAACTATCACTCCCAAGGTGGTGTTCACACCGGTCCTTCTATCACCCCCTCGGCTTCGCCTCGGGGGTGATAGAAGGGCCGGTGTGAACATCACCGAGGAAGTGGTAGTTCCCACCATCATCCGATTACAGAGCAGTCCATATTTGTTTTATATACCTCATCCTTTTTATTGATTCATGATTAGGTCTAGCTGTAGGTATAGCACTAAAAAACAGGAAACTAGATCAAGAGGAATTACTCACCAGAATAAGAAAAATCCAACATCAAGTCCAAGGCAAGAGTATTAAATTCCTACGCGCTGCGCGTAACCGCGCGATTGCGGTAGCCTAGCGACCCACAAAATTTGTGTGCGCAACTAAGTCGCGGGAGGGGTTAGGGGTCCTATCCCGGGGTTTGATATACAAATAATACACAGCAGTGAGGGCATTAGTATACAAATATTGACTGCTCATGAGGATGATGGTGGGAACTATCACTCCCAAGGTGGTGTTCACACCGGTCCTTCTATCACCCCCGAGGCGAAGCCGAGGGGGTGATAGAAGGGCCGGTGTGAACATCACCGAGGGAGAGGTAGTTCCCACCATCATCCGATTACAGAGCAGTCCATATTTGTTTTATATACCTCATCCTTTTTATTGATTCATGATTAGGTATAGCTGTAGGTCTAGATCTAGCACTAAAAAACAGGAAACTAGATCAAGAGGAATTACTCACCAGAATAAGAAAAATCCAACATCAAGTCCAAGGCAAGAGTATTAAATTCCTACGCGCTGCGCGTAACCGCGCGATTGCGGTAGCCTAGCAACCCACAAAATTTGTGTGCGCAACTA